TACGGCGACCCTTAGGACGACCCAATGGGGAGGCGCTGTGCTGCACGACGCAACGCAGCGAAACGCAGTCAACGCAACTCTGTGAACGAGTCGTAACGCTCGGCTGGGCACAACACGCTCGCTTTAACCAGTCCTTGCATTCTTCCTTCCCACAATAATTCTTCTGCTCCTGCTTTATTTTATTTTTCATCTAAATCAGCTTGCTTAGCCTCTTCACGGTAGATGTTCCAATCTCACTTTTCGGGTTCGGCTCGTACAGAGATTCTCTAAAATGTTCACGTATAACTACTTAGTCGTATATTTTCCCACAGATCCACCATGAGAGTCGACCGTTGTTCTAATCCCTTCATTCGGTGTGTTCCCATGTGCTCCAAGTGCATCTGCCCACGCTTCTTTGGCCAATTTCTAATCTTGATTGAGCTTCTGGCCCCATTACAAAAGGGAGTCCTGGGTCGCCCGTAAAGCAGGTGAAGACCTAGGATTTCAGACGCGGAAAAATCTGGAAGCACGAGCTTTGCACTTCAGAAGCTGCTTCCATAGGGCGTGAGACGAGCGCCTTTCAAATTGCTGCCATCCCCCCCCCCCCCCCCCCCCTCCACCACCACCACCAAAGAAAAAAAAAAGACGAAAAGAAAATGATTAAAGACCGCTAAACTTTAGACACAAAACAAGGATGCCTTTTAGTACAATTGAATGCCTAGAAACAATATATTCCATTATTATTATTTTTAAGGGAGCTTTTAATGTTTATTTGGACCGCTCCCACGCACATAGCGATGCTCAGTGCATCAGCTTGGTGTTATCAGGTCTGCTGCCATACGTGCCATACCTGCGTACCACCATCGTTCCAATCTTTTGTGGAACGTATGGTGGCAGTTCAAAGCTTCGGCGACCAAATTCACACGCTTTGCAGAAAGTTCTATGCTCCAGAGGAGCTACGTGACTCGTTGGGCGTCACTTGGAACTTCCAGTAATCAGCAACAAAGTTTAAACTTCTGAGTCGCATTTTTTTTCTTTTGTTTGATTCCTGTAAACATTCACTCTCCCGTTTCATCGCGCAGAATAATAATAATTAAATATAAGCGCCCAACAGTTCAACCATGTTCCAATTAAATTTGCAATCGTAATACCCGAATGGCTTCACCGGCGTTACTCTCAGTGACAACAATTCCGAGTCTAGTATCACGTTGTGACTATTAATTTTTAATGGACATTTCATCTATTCATGAAGAATACATGGAAATTCTCGAACATTTTATACCTCCCCAACGAACGATAACATGACTTGAAAACCTGTCAAGATCCGACCAGATGCAACACAGCTCTCTCTTCCGCCAGACAGCGCAGCAACTAGTCAATTTGGCGGGAAAACCGCTAAAGCGACAACACTGCTTTTGAAAGTTTCGACGGAGAGACGGAGTTTTATACGAACATTGAAAGGGAACGAGTGTCTATGTTCCCAGGCTAGGCTGCACAAATTAGAGCTCAATACCAGGCGTATAGCCAATAGCATCCATTTAATAATCCAACGCCGCGCCCACAGCTTTCGTAAAGCAGAGCTCAGTGGCCTTCACGCCTATTCGCACTTCATAGCGACGTAAGCGCCACCTCGCAGATTTTGAGCGAACTACTCATGGGACCTGAGTGCTGTTTTATGCCTGATTGCTACACATTTGACTGCAGGGACACGTACTAAGGTCACGGTGAACAAAGTTATCACTGTTCTGCGACTGTCGCAACCGGGCCGTCATCAACGAGCGGAGTGGAAAATAAAAATCAATGCGATATAAACGGGATTTAAATCGTGATATAAATCGTGGTTTAATGCAGACCAGTTTCACTATGCTGATTTAAATCGAACCTTTTCCGCAAAAATCAATGCCGAAAGTATTTCAAATTTCCCGTTCCTTTTATGCTTTTTATGTGCATTTGTTTCGTATTTAAATCAATGAATCACCCCGCTAGAAAAAATTATATAAGACTGAACACGAGCAAAAATAAGCGGTATTCCGAGCAAATCGGAGCGTTGAGCTTAATTGTTGCCTTCAACTTTGTTCCTCAACAACGTAACGCCCCATTACAAATAACAAGAAAAGTAATGTCCCATTGGAATCACGAAATGAATATATTGAATAAGGGTTTGTGTTTTTTAACTAACCAAACATCAAGCTGTTTTTGTCCTACTATGGCGGAGAAACTACAGCAATGAAAAGTTAAGCTGCATTTTACGTTCATCCATCGGCATTTTTATGAGTGATAGCACGAACTGATCGATCAATCTGCCACGTTGAAAAATACATTTAGTGGCGAAGAATCACTATTTTCTAGCTACGGTGATTTAAATCTAATAAATCTGATTCGTTTAATTTGCATATAAAATTATAAAATATGATTTTTTTAAATTCTTATTTGGTCTGCTAACCATACAAGCTTGACTCGTTTGAATGCGCGAGGACATATGGGACGCTGGCTGCGAGCAAACTGTGCGGCCCGCGTCACCCCCCCCCCCCCACTTTCGAACAACAATCTCTTCCTATAGCTAATATAAGACGTGCCTTCATTGGCTAGAAATACCAGACCGATCAGAAGAGTGTCGTCGAGGATTCGTCACCGCTTTCCACTCATGATAATGGCGGACGAAAAGGGGCGCTTTAGTCAAACGACAGCGCAGCCAATAATCGCTAAAATGTGGCACATTTGTTTTCTTAGTCACTAGGGTCACCAGCACGAATAAAAACTTTACTCGCAGTCACTCGTCTCATAAATTGTACAAAACCTTGACGAACATCATGATGGTTCCCGTTTTTAGGCTGTCTGGTTGCTCCCATCAGCAGGTAGCGTCGGATGCCTCTGGACTAAAGGTGAAACCAAGTACAAGTATGCTTCGACCACGTCCGAAGACATTTTTTGTACATGGCGTGTATCAGTCGATCCTATATATATAGGGTCGACTGCTACAGGCCATGTACAAAAAATGTCTTCGCGCCGTGCTCGGGCAAATCGACATTGATTCGATACTATAGTATTTAATCAATGTCGACTTGACCGAGCACGGCGCTAAACAAAACATCGGAGGACATACACCACGTTAACTTTTCTTTTACGCGAGACCCGTAATTTAAGAAGGCATCCCCTCCACGGGGCGCTTTATTGTTTAGCAAGGGACTCTTGCTAAACAACCATTGACATAGCGGTAGAGTAAGTAAGCAAATGTAGTTGAAACTTCGGCAACTGGATACTGCCCCAATCACGATGAACGTTCAGTGAGTGCACATGCCAGTATATATTTCGCGCTGGGTACTGAACCACGGTGTGTCAGAAATCGAAGCGCACCTCCACGTACTTGGGGTATTTTGATAGTTGGAATCTAACTTGGTTACTCTTCTGTAACGCAACTGTAATTCGATACGTTCGTAAGAATATAAGTGTGAGTAATTACATTTGAGCTCGAGTAACTGAAAGGTATTTAGGCCTTAAAAGTAACTTTTACAGCTGCGTTCGCAAGTGTGTGCTCGCTGGCGCGTGTATTTCTTCGATGGCTTTCTACCGCGTTTACGAAGCAAAGTGTTCCTCGTGGGCCGTTTACGTACTCGGGAAAGATTACGTCGAGCCTGACCCCCGAAATGCAGCCAAAATAACGAGGCACGAAATCACAAAGAGAGTTAATAAGAGAACGGGGACAATGCACCATTACGGAGGAAAGAAGGGCCTCGAGTATTGTTCCAAACAATGAGTGTAGGCAAGAAGCAAAGCGGTACCGTCGGGAAGAAGGTCGCACGCCTTGTGTAATCAGACGTGCAGGTGTCGCACAACCACGCAAATGACGAGACAATCGATGGCTAAAGCGGCCACGAGCACGGAACGCTGGCGGGATTTAAGCGCGCCATAATAAGCGTGATATAAGCGAGTCAAATTCGAAACCAGCGAAAAGCGCTAGCTCCACTACACTGGCAGCCTGCATCGTTGCCATCTAAACAAAACTGGCTTTCTCGCGATTCATTACGCAGCTTCGAGGCAGCGACAGCGCGTACAGAGCCTACGTCCAGTCTAGCTTGTCAGCCCAATTGGAGAAGCAAGTGAACTCGGTTTCTCCGAAAAACCCACAGCCACAGACCTGTCACCGCAATGGAGGAATTATGCTGCCGTTGGCATTGTAACCAATTAAAGCAACCTCGATACTGGACTTTTAATCGGTTTACGGCTCTGCTAGAGGTACACCAAAGGTGAGATTAGGCTCTCTAAGGTGCCGCCGCCTGCCTGAAAGATAGTGAACGAGCGCACCCACGGCGAGCTAAACTACTGGCAGATGGACATGTGGACTTGGCTGACGGCTTTTTTCTTTACTCACTTCTATTTTTATTATGTTTTCAGCATTGGTTTGCGGTGCTTGTGTGCATCTTGGTCGCGTCCTAACGACGGACCGCGATTTTTAATCTCTAAATATTCCTAACCCGCAACCGTGACGCTGCCTCCGGAACGACCACCCCGATTCGGAAGGGTTTTGGCGCAACTCAATACTATCGCCAGGGAGTTGCTTATCGTACACTCGGCCAGCATAGCGGAGACGCTGTTTTCCCTGGACGGCGCACCCGAGCCAGCCAGCTTCGACATCACCGCCAGCTAGAGTCGTTCCACAATGGCTCGCAGGCAAGCCGGAAATCCCTCCGCCGTGGGAAAACAAAACAAAGCAGTGGGGGGACGTCGCCGCGCAACCAACTGGTCGCGCGTTTGCCCGACGCCGATAAGGAAGAAGGCGCCTGTGCGAGCGGGCTGCGAGATTAGACGGGCGGCCCGGCGCCGCGATAAGGCGCCGCACGTGCTTCTCGGGTTGCGTTCGGAGACGACGCCGAGCGCGGACGGAAATTCAGAGCGGCCGTTTCGAAACGCGGAGCGGGCCAAGGCCGGGCAGGGAGGCCAGCTGCGAGCCCCATTGTGGGGTCCGCCAAGGCTGGACGCTGCCCCGGCGGCCCAGGAAAGACGGCGAAACGAGGGAGCTGCTAGTGTTTTCTGAAAACAAACTTTACTAGCGTTACGTTCGCAATGACTCGTATGTACAACCGTAAGTATGTACAAGAGGCGTTAACATTATGTACACTATGTACAGGAGGTTGTGGCACGTACGGGAAGAATCGGGTGGCGCCAGTCCGAGCAGCGGGGGCGGCGTACTTACGGGACCGCTCGCTGCAGCCGGCACCCATTAATCCAGAGTTGAGCACGGCACCCGCGTTTGGGCACCACTTTGAGCGACGCGCACTGTCACCGAATGTGCCTGGGCGGGCTGTGCTGCTGGTGGAGCTGGTGCTGCCACAGGCCCAGGTTGAGCACGCCGAGGTGCGGCAGCTGCATCAGCCGTTCCAGGCCCACGGTGGTGATCTTGGTGCAGCCGTACAGGTCGATGCAGCGCAGCTGCTTCAGGTGGTCGGCGATCAGGCTGAGGCCCTTGTCCGTCACGCGGCCGCACTGGCCCAGGTGCAGCGTGTGCAGGTCGCCCAGGGAGCGGGCCACGCGCCCTATGCCGTCGTCGCTCACGGGGCAGGCGTTCAGGCTGAGGCTGCGCAGCTGGAAGAGGCCCTGCGAGGCGTGCAGCAGGCCCTGGTCGCCCACCTTGTCGCAGAAGCTCACGTCGAGCGCGCACAGACGCGACCCGCCCTCGGCCAGGTAGGCCAGCCCCAGGTCCGAGATGTTGTCGCACGAGCGCAGGTTGAGCTCGCGCAGGCGCGGCATGCGCGCCGCGTGCTTCAGGCCGGCGTCCGTCACGCTCGCGCAGAAGCTCAGGTTCAGGCTGCGCAGGTCTGCCAGGCCGAGGCTGACGAAGCGCAGCGCGTCGTCCGTCAGCTTCTGGCAGTCCTGCAGGCACAGGGCCTCCAGGCGCAGCGTGCCGTGGGCCGCCTCGGGCGTCATGCCGGCCAGGTGTCCGATGCCCGGGTCCGACACGCCGCGGCAGCTGCGCAGGTTCAGGCTGCGCAGGTTCTTGAGGCCCCAGGCGACGAGCAGCAGGCCCGTGTTGCTCACGTTCGAGCAGCCGCCCAGGTCAAGCCGCTCGAGGCCCTTGAGATGCTGCGCGATGCGGCCCAGGCTGTTGTCTGTGATCTGCTTGCACATGCTCAGGTTGAGCTCGGACAGCGAGTGGACGTCTTGCACGAAGGCGTGGCTCAGCCAGGTGTCGGTCAGGTTGAAGCAGCCGATCATGTTGAGCGCCTCGAGGTTGGGCACACCTTGGATGACGTCTCGCAGCGAGCGGCGCAGGCTGAGCACCTGCACGCGCCGAATGCCCCGCCGCACCAGGCTCGGGAACAAAGACGGGTTGGCGCGGCGCAGGTGCAGCTTGGCCTCGACGCCCCGCCAGACGGACTTGTGGTAGGCGGCCTCGCGCCACGCCGAGCACACCTGCGACACGCGGCCCTTGTCGCGCACGTCCAGGTAGCTGAAGATGAGCGCCAGGATCTCGGGGTAGAGCCGCGAGATGTGCGGCCGGCACCCCGGCGCTTCCATGGGTCCCGGCGCTCCTCGGCGGCCGGCTTCCTGCGCTCGTCTGCGTTGCCCGTCCGGCGCCGCCGCCGACGACGGGGGGAGACGCCTTCCCGGCACGCCCCGCGCGAGGACGCGGCGGAGCGCGTCACGTGATGGCCCTCGGCCGCCTCCCATTGGTCGGCCCGACGACGCGCGCTTTTTTGTCCGCCGCGCGTCGACCCTCGGGATTTCCGAGCGCCGATTTCTTCCCCGTACATGGGGACAGAAAAACGGCGCCGCTGCTCGCTGTTGGAATGTTTCCTCGCTCCCGCCAAAGGGAGAAAGCTTCGGCCGTCGAAAAATAGAAACAAAGGCCCCAAGACCCTTCGAGCGGTTGCGGAGCGAAGGAAACCAGGCAGGATGGAAAACTATACTGCAACGCCTGATTTAAATATTCGGTCAGTCGAAGGTCGAGGCGTCAGTGCTGTACTTCTGTTACCGCGAAAACTTCCTTTGTTCTCTGTCTACCGTAGTACTTTCCTCGTCCGAACTAAGCCGCCCCACGTTCACTTGGCGGAGTCGTCTATCGCAGTCTTCGTAGCATCAGTTGGTTTCAGTTATACGAATTTAGGTTCCACATAACTTCCTCGCACTTGAACGAATCGCCGTTTGTGTCAAAGTAGCAAACGCATCGCACCGGACCGCTGGTGCCATTAATGAGACTGGGACAGTGAAAACATGTTCGTTTTCACAGACCTTGGCGAGCTCGGAACTTCTGTTCGTGTTTGATAGACCAACTTCATACTTTTCATCTTCGTGAATCGTAACTTTAACCCGAGCGCAATGGCTGTTCTCACCGTCGCGCGCTTGAAAGACAACAACGACAGTTGCTTGGTGACGTGCACTAAAGGACGAAACAAGCCGAGCAATATCTTACACGGCAGCGGCTGTGAAAAGCGTCACCTTATTTGCAGTTACGTCAGGCTTCGTGTGCCTCTCTAAGTTTTCCGCGCTATGAAACTTCTGGGGTGGATTGGGGAAAACGGTAGCTGTTCAATGTCCCGTTGTAATTTATCCGCGCTCTGTACTCTTTCCCGGAAACATGAAGGGTCGATTGTCATGAACCGTTGTCGAATTGCGTACCACCGCAGCCATCTCGAAGCGAGCGATCTCCTCAGCTCGGTTCGTTACTGTGAGGCACGTCCTGAGCAGTTCTGTCGCTGCCTCTGGAACAGTACTTCGCTGAACTAAGTACACTCGAACGCGCTATTTAAATTCGGCGATATCCAAGCAGCCCCGTGGCAGGAAGACCAGTCGAGCATTGGCTTCCTTATACTGGTTAGCAATTGGTGCTCCCACCCAGCGCAAGCGCAGATATGATCGAGAAATCCTTGAAGAATTACTGGTTCAACGATGCGTATCTTTCCCGCGCGTATTCCTGACACAGCGAGGTTAGTGAGCTTATGTCTCTGAAAAGATTGGTGAGTTTTTGTCAGGCGAGCTTACGTCCAATGAGCTTTCTTCTCTTACCCATTGATCTACCCAAACCACACAACTCGCCAACACAAAACAACTTGGGCGCGCTGGGTTGCCCTGTTTCACCTTCGGCCGTGCCGAAAGCGGTTTGGTGTTCAAACCCCATTCGTACATCATTCTGGGTGGATCAAAGTTATTCCGTGCTCCCCAGAGCCCACATCCTCGAAAAGTGCGCGCCTTATTGTGCCCTAAAGTGCCTCCCTGGAAGCTTCGGAATTTGCCTCGCCCGTTGTGCCTGGAGCAAGATGCGAGATTGGGGAAAGCTGCCAAGCAATTACCGGGCCCTCTTTCTTTTGACTTCTTCTAAGCCGCCGCCAGGGAAACGTGTTTGGGTGATACTACGGTGGCGTTCCGAGCGCCGACGTCCCCCTGACAGAGGCGGCGCCCTTGGAAGTGTCCCCGGGAGCTGACTTGGTCGGAGCAGCGACCTTTTCTGCCTTTTGTCCCCAAGCAGGCTTTGCTCTTCGCCGCCCGCGCGTGTTGTCTCCCGGACAAAGACGAAAGCCGTTGTCCGGGGTGCCATAAAAGCGCGGATCCTTCTGCCTAACCCCGAACGACCTTTTTGCGAAGTGAGACTTCCATTAGTCGGAAATTGTAGTCGCAGACTCGGGATGGCTTCAAATCGGCTTCGTACTCCGCTGCGGAGCAGGATGTCTCCAGGCTGGCGGCAAAGCAGGTACATGGATCGGAAGCCTTTGTTAATTCTCGGGCGCCTGGAGGTTCGGTGACTTCAAAGACCAGCGCGATCGCCGGCTGAACACCGACCCTTTGTTCGGGGAAACAGTCACACGGGCGCAATTTGAAGGAAACCAGGAAAACAAACCTCGCGAAAACGATCCTCCTGGAAGCTAGCTATGAAGATGACATTTCGTTAGACCTGGCTTCCTAGCAATAAGTCGGCTGAAGCTTTTGGAGGCTTGCAGGAGGTTCCTTCGCAAGAATGTTCATCTGCGTCTGAATATACGTATAGCTCACGTAACATCATGTGACGTGACATAAATTTTCAGCTAAATTTAGTGGGGAAACGGAATTTTGTGCATAAGTCACGTGAGATGACGTCATGTGACATCATTTTCTCACACTGCGCGCGTTGCATTATGGGACATCAAAGACGTATACACCAATTCAACTTCCCCGCTAAATTTAGCGGAGAAACTGAACTGGTGTGTAGGTCTGTGACGTCCCATAATCCAACACTGCGGGCATTGCATTATTGGCTAGATAGGTGCTGAGGTCACGTGACTTACAGTTTCCCGCTAAATCTAGCGGGGAAACTTCATCCCGCTTCACTTGATCCTGCTTCATCAAATCTGGAACAACAACCAAAAAACGTTTCACGTATTTTTTTAATTTTTTTTCATGGGTTATTGGAACGATTCATTTAAACAGACAGAAAGGAAGACAAAGAAAATTAATTCGAATTTACTCTAGTTCCGTTTCGTCTAATAAAACACCCCAATTGGCCCACAAAATGCATTCTCACTTTTATTCTAAAAAGGCTGAACACCCCATTGAGATTTTTATTTGAATGTTCTGGCTGAAGGTAAGGTTTTAGTTCAGTATTTCCAGAAAGCAAATGCACCGCAAAGTCATATTTTGGTCGTAAGTTGATGTAAGAGCGTGCAAATATATGATTCTTGAAAATTTCAGAGTGGGTTAGACGATGCATTTCGCCCTCGCTGCTCGTGTTCTTCAACACCTGAGTATCACTGTTGACTTAAGAATTACTCACACGGTGCATCTTTTCAATCGCAACGGTTTAGCCAAACGGAGACTTGGCGCAATAGGCTAGTTCACACTCGGTGCTTGACGCGCGAAAACTGTGACTTATTTACGAGAACTTCGCCAAACCTTCTCAGACGCACCTGGAATATCAAGCGTTTCACAGCAAATGATATGAAGTACGGACACTGTGAAGAAACAGTCTGCTTCATTAAAGGGGTAAGGAAACAAAACTTTAGCTATTATTTGTTTGTTTAGCCAGGTTTTGTCAGCATCTTAGAAACACCAGTCTCACGCTTGTAAACGCACGTAAGCTAATTTGAAAACGAATAAAACGATTTCTTAATACTACCTGGTAGTTGGGTGACCGATGTAGTTTTGACGTTGAATGCTTTTCGCCCCCTCGCCATTCACAGAAGTACAAGGCAAATTTATAGACAACTCGTGCCCAGTGACGTCACGAGGGTCAGCGGCACCCGCGGTGGTAGCCTGCCGCGACCCCCCCTCCTCCCCCCCCCCCCCTTCCCCCCCTTCCCAGCCACACTTGTGGCCCGCCGCGACACCCCCTGAGCGCTGCACCCGGGGCGGTCCGCCCCCCCTCCCCCCCCCCCCCCCCCCCCCCCCGCCCCTTGTGACGCCACTGCTCGTGCTTGAACGGTATCGCGATTCGCGAAGCTTGGCGAAGAAATCCACAGTGTTTCTGCAACGTGCATTCTACAGGAATCCGAACATTTAGGTGTAGAGCGTTTCGGTGCGGTCTTTCCGGTGCACGGATTTTTCGGTGCACGGTAAATCAAGATCCCTATTTTTTTTTTTTTTCTTTAAAGGTAATAAGCACTATTTTAGACAAAACATTTTTTTTTTCACTTTGTAATGTTGTAGATTTGGTCATCGCTTTACGCTCACTTACTGATATACGACCTAAGGGGCTCTGGCAGGCGCAGCAACATCCTGCAGGAGGACTGGAGACGTTGGACGTGCTGGTGTCTCTTCCAGCGTACGCACTAGGCGCGTCACATCTTGTTTATGAATTGGGTCGGTACAGGTGATCTCGGCGTCTTCTGTAAAGGTATGGGCTGTGTTATTGGCAATCTGTGCAGGAAAGGCCCCAACAGCAAGAAGATTGAGAATGTTGGAAATTACCCGAGACCGTGGTAAAAGATGGGAAACTTCGTAGAACATTGAGACGTCCTTCTTCTTGTGTCCTTTTTCTTCCACGACGTTTCCCATCTTTTACCGCAGTCTCGAGGAATTTTAATGTGTTTTGGGTATTGATTTATATTATAAACCTCGCGACACGTGACGGATAGGAAGCACTTAAATTTTTCCTGTCAGGCGTGCTGAACAATCGACCGAATGCCTCTTTCCAGGCTCCAAATATTTGGTTTGCGTGGTCAAACTAATACAGCAACAAAACTTTATTGTTGTTACCAGGCGCGGAGCCAGGATATTGTTTAGGGGAGGGGGGGGGGGACTTTATTTAACTTTAATAACTTATTTAATTAAAGAAACTTTATTTAACTAAGTACTCATTAACAGGATTTCACAATATTGGCCCTATAAAATACACTATTTGTTATATGGACATTTGCTTACGACGCTCTTAAAGTATCAGATAAGTGACGGACCCCTAAAATGAAGTCTGACATTCACCTTCCGCTAAATTTGCCAGATGAAATTAAAGGGCGCAAAAGAGGTGATCTCCGATAAGTTTGGCTGAAGTGGAGCGCCATGCACCACACCTTGGCATGGACCTGTGTAGAAAGCTCTTTACTGGTTTGGACCACGCGCTTTGTTTGATTTTGGCGCCGCGCCAGCTACTAAAAGTAAATCCCTATTCGCCGTAGACAACGCTGCACTCGGGTGATTTTCATGCAGACG